GTGCGTGTGTGTGTAACGAATGCACGGCCGCAATTTTCAACGGATTTGCACCAAAATTTACATTCACATGCTCCAAGTTAGCGGAGAGGTCAAGATCGACGTTGTATTTCCCAACTCCCATCGATAGTGGAAATAATCGATTTTTTCATGCTTCAACGGCAATGTTCATGTAGTTTGCGGCCATTTTCTACTGGGCAGAGTGAGAGCCTATAACTGGCTGCCACGAATAGGCAGGAAGATTCTATTGGCCACCGTGAGAGCCAACAGCTGACTGACATGAATGTTAACTAGCATGCAAAAAAAAAAATAGATATCTGCATTCGTCACAAGTGGGTATAATTTAAATCTGCATGGCACTTTACTCCAATTGGTTCATTCGCTTGCTTAAACTCAACGTTGATTCTGATTCCGCAGAACTGGGTTGGGTGTAAAAAAGTATTTGTTGTTAACATTCTTTTTTCATTCGGTTTTTCCAGTTATGAGTCCTTTTTTTTAAAGCTGATCGTTTTGTGTTCATTTTGTTTAGTTCTTTTTTCATAACAAATTTAATGTTTAGTACAGAGCTTAGAAAAATTCTCAGGCAAGAAGTAAGGCATATAGCAACATCAACACGGCAAAGGGTACTGCTTTAAAGGCAAGAAAGGACAAAAATATTTTAAGTCAAATGATAGCGTAGATTTATTGAAGGGATTCCTGGAATCCCATGCCTTAAAGATATAAAAAAAAAGTGTGTTCATGAGTCCAGCCCACACCGCACAAAGAACTTTGTCTATGTAACATATGTTTTTTTTAAGTTTTTTTTTTTTCAGTGGAAAATGATGCCATTTCTAAACTTATGCCCCTGAAATATGAGTACACATCAGAAATCAAAGAAAATATAATAATAATAATAATAATAATAATAATAAATTTCTGTTATCTCAAATAACCATAAACAATTGACCATCTAGACTGCACCGTGTTAGCGCTTACTGAAATATAAATTTCGGCATGATAGAGTCGTCTGGTACCTACACTAGAAAATATGCAACTTTTACGGAAAAGAAACTACACAAAGCCGGTATGAATATAACCCACACACGATTACTGAGATAGGACCTGCAACATTTTTATGGGATTTTACAAAGCATAAAGACAGAATGACCAAAGCTCATCGCCCAGACATCGTGATCAAAGACCACAAGAACAGAACGTCCTTTCTTATTGACATCTCAGTCACAGCAGACTGTAATGTATCTTGCAAGATCTTCAAAACAACTATCAAGATCTAAGGCTCTTGATGTGGAAATATAAAAACATGTGACACGTGAAGATATCAATTAGGTTTTACTCACATGTACAGCTTACACATTTTATCTATGAAAAATGTGTGTCAAATAAGGTTTTCTGGATAATGCCATAAAATCATTTCTGACCTTATATCTCTGGTTGGTACCCTGGAAGGAAATATGCATGCAGCAAAAATCAAAGAAAATAATAATAATAATAATAACAATAATAATAATAATAATAATCTTTGCCAAAGATTACAATGAGTTGAAAGGGCTCCTCAATAATGTAAAATACTTGTGACGACATAAGTATGTACTTCGGATTAGATAAATGTGCAAAAGTAACATTCAAAAAAAGGTAGAATTACAGAAACATCCTTAATATATTTAGATTTTGTCACAAAAATTAGGGAACTGGAGCATGATGAAGCTTATAAGTACCTAGGAATTAGCGAAGGAGATGGCATACAACAGCTTCAAATAAAGAAAAAAATAAGAAAAGAGTACTACAGGCGTGTACGTCTGGTACTAAATACTGAGCTAAACTAAAAAAAAAAAAAAAGAATATCAGCTATAAACACATTGGCTGTCGCTGTGGTGCAATACGGCTTTAATGTCCTTAAGTGGACCATAGCTGAAATTATGCGAATGGACGCCAAAACGAGAAAGATTCTCACTTGCTATCGCATGCATCATCCCAAAGCTGATGTTGATAATCTGTATGTGCCCAGATCCGAAGGAGGCAGAGGATTAGTTCAACTAGAAATGTCCTACAAAACTACAACAATTGGCCTCCAAAGATACTTGGAAACTACAGAAGACTGGATGATGATTATGCGTCAAGGAACATGAAAGTAGTAAGCGTCTTTAATTCGTAATGAAAGAATCCAACAAATTCAAATGGGCGTAGAGATACAACTACAGCACAATACACCGACTGAAACTGCAAAATACCTAAAAAAGACAGCAAAGTCGAATGCAACTGACGAGATACAGAAGCGATGGCAAGATAAACCGCTCCATGCCCAATACTCTGCCCGTACCAAACAAGCTGACTTAGACAAAACCCGTACCCATTAGTGGCTACGTAGTGCAGGGTTGAAAGCGGAAACTGAAGGTTTTATCCTTGCTGCGCAGGAGCAATGCTTGCTAGCAAATATTGTGTCAGCCCAAAATGCAGATTCTGTTATAAATATCCAGAAACGATTGATCCTCTTGTATCAGGTTGTACGATGTTGGCACCCACTGAATATAAAACACGACATGAGAGAGTGGGCCAATATCTGCACTGGAAATTCTGCAACTTCTACGGGAAGGAAACTGAAAGAAACTGGTATAAACACCACCCAGATCCGGTTACGGAGATAGGACCTGTTACAATTCTATGGGACTACACAATACACACTGACAGAACAATCAAAGCCAACCGGTAAGATATTGTTATTAAAGACCACAAATAAAAACGGTGCCTCCTTATTGATATGGCAGTCCCTGCTGACTACAATGTATCTTTGAAGATATCCAAAAAGCTGTCAAAATACAAGGACCTTGAAATAAAAATCTCGAAAATGTGGCATATAGGAACATCAACAATCCCTGTTGTAGTTGAAGCCCTAGGACTGGTTGGAAAAGATTGCAGTAAACTAATTGAAGGGATTCCTGGAAGTCCATGCGTCAAGGAGATACAAAAAATTGTTCTGACAGGTACAGCCCATACTTTGC